TATTAGAGATCGTGTAAAGGTCATACAATTGAAGATTCGAAGGTTGTTGATTCGTATTTCGTTTGATATATTATTATCCGGTCAGATTTTACTGTACGAGCACGTACGAAATTCGCGCCCAGGTTTTCAGTTCGCGCGCCAGCCCCGTTCACGTCTTTAGTTCGCGGTCAGGTTCTTTATCTATAGTTCGCTTTAATTTGATGCAACAGAGCGCTTGGTGCAGTGGTTTGCGACGCGGTCTCTCCCGGCGGAGGTCGCAGGTTCGATCCTTCTCCTTGCAGAAATAGGAGAGTTTTTTTTTTGGTTCCAGGCGCGCGGGCTTTCTGGCCCGCATCAGGCCCGCGCGCGGCCCGCTGTCCTCTCCCAGTTTTCAGCCCGGTGCCAGCCCGCGTGCTCCCAGCTTCCTCTTGGCCCAAATGCCCGTGTCCCGGCCCAATTGCAGCGTTGCTCGCGGCCCAGTTCGCAGTGTAGCAGCCCAGCGAATGCCTATGTGAGCCCAGCGCGTGTTGAGTTGGCCCAGCGTGCTCCGGTGGTCCAGAAGCAGTCCAGACCGGTCCAGGCGGCCCAGAAGCCTAGCCTTCGGCCCAGTTTGATGTTCCCTTGGCCCAAATGCGTGATCCGCGGCCCAGCTTGCTCCAGCGCGGCCCAGCGACGTAGAGAGCGGCCCAGATGCGCCCAGAACACCACAGCGCGGCCCAGGCATAGTTCAACCGGTCCAGGCAGTCTCAGACCGGCCCAGATCGCGACCAGCAAGCCCAAACCCGGTCCAGGAGCGGTCCAGCAGGTCCAGCAGCTCCGGTTCGTGTCCAAGGCGGTTCCCAAGCGGTCCGAGAAGTCCGATTCACCTACCGAAGGTCCGAGACGATCCGATGAGCTTGATGAGCGATTCGAGCACCATGGTGACTCGATTAGAATCGAGAAAGGCCAAGTCTAGCCGCCCATTAGACTTTGGTGTTCAGACGATCTCCTTCAATGGAAATCAGAAACGTCTCAGAGTCGGCAAAAAATTTTAAACCGTAAGTCCTAATCCTAACTATAGATTCCGCTGCGTTAGGATTTATTATTCAATAGATTTGAATGTGCACATTGTCGACGTTCCTAATAGAACCCAACAGTTAGGGCTAGTTCATTCCGATCTATGTGGTCCTATGAGTGTTCACGCGAGAGGTGGTTTCGAGTACTTCGTTACGTTTATCGATGATTACTCGAGATATGGGTACATTTTCCTTCTGCACCGTAAGTCTGAATACTTTGAGAAGTTCTTAGAGTATAAGGCAGTTGTGGAGAAGAAGTTAGGAAAAAGTATCAAGTCATTACGATCAGATTGTGGTGGCAAATATCTCTCGAATGAATTTAGGAGCTACTTGACGGATAATGGGATTACATCCCAGCTGACTGCGCCTGGCATGCCTCAGCAGAATGGCGTAGCAGAACGGAGGAATACGAATCTTATGGAAATGGTTAGGGCAATGATGAGTTATAGTACTTTACCAGATTCGTTTTGGGGATATGCCCTAAAAACAGCGGTATACATTCTAAATAGAGTACCTTCTAAATCAAGACCGTCTACACCATTGGAGTTGTGGTCTGGGCATAAGCCTAGTCTAAGGCATCTCAGGATTTGGGGTAGTCCAGCACATGTGTTGAGAACTGATACTCATAAGTTGGAACCGAGGACATAAGTAAGGCTGTTTGTGGGATATCCCAAGGAAACGAAAGGTGGTCTATTTTATAGTCCCGAGGAACAGAAAGTAATCGTTAGCATGAATGCTTGGTTCTTGGAAGAAGACTATGCTTTAGATCATAAGCCCAGTAGTAGACATGTCCTCGAGGAGTTAAAGGGAGTGAGTACTTCAATACCGAGTGCGCTAGTTGTTACACCACAAAGTACTGCAACACATATCGCTGATGATGCACCTGAGCAGGTAGTACCTTGTCGTAGTGGGAGGGTTGTCCGGCAGCCCGAATGGTTCATGGGTCTGGGAAAGTCTTCTGAGGCCATCCCGGGCGTCTTGAATCCAACCCATGGACATACAATGAGGCACTCCAAGATCGGGACGCAGAGCCTTGGCAAAAGGCGATGAAATATGAAATATGGTAAATAGACTCTAATCAGGTCTGGGATGTTGTAGAGCCACCCAGTAGCATCCGCGTCATTGGATGCAAGTGGGTCTATAGGAGAAGAGAGGAACGGATGAGAAGGTTGAGACCTTCAAAGCTAGGCTTGTTGCGAAAGGGTACACTCAAAAAGACGAGATCTATTGTGAGGAAACCTATTCGCCGGTAGCCATGCTCAAATCCATCAAGATTCTCTTGGCTATGGCCGCTCATATGGATTATGAGATTTGGCAAATGGATGTTAAGATCGCTTTCCTTAACGGGAATTTGGACGAGGACATCTATATGCAACAACCAGAAGGATTCATTGCAAAGGGCCAAGAGCATTTGGTCTGCAAGCTGAAGAGGTCCATTTATGGGCTGAAGCAGGCTTCGAGGTCTTGGAGCATCCGTTTTGACGAGGTTGTCCAATCGTATGGATTTACCCAATGTCCGGATGAGCACTGTGTGTACAAGAAAAGTGATGGAAACGTGGTGATGTTTCTAGTGCTGTACGTGGATGATATTCTTCTCATTGTAAACAGTGTGAAGATAATATCAGACGTAAAGTTATGGTTATCCAAGCAGTTTGATATGAAGGATTTGGGAGAAGTAGGACATGTTCTCGGAATCAAGGTCATTCGCGACCGAGAGAAGAGAAAGTTGTGCCTATCCCAATCCACATACATAGACACTGTCCTAAAGCGCTTCAACATGCAGGATTCCAAGAAAGGGGATTTACCCTTTCGGCACGAAATACCTCTATCTAAGAGGATGTCCCCGAAGACGCCTTAAGAGGTAGAGGACATGAAGGCGTTTCTTTATGCATCGGCAGTAAGAAGCCTCATGTATGCTATGTTGTGCACGCGACCTGATATTTGTTTTGCCATGGGCATTGTAGCAAGATATCAGAGTAATCCAGGACCGGAACATTGGTCTGCGGTAAAGCATATACTCAAGTACCTACGTAGGACTAAGGAGTACATGTTGATTTACCAGGCAGACGAATTGCTTCCGTTGGGTTACACCGACTCTTACTTCCAGGCAGACCGGGACGAAAGCAAGTCAACCTCAGGGTTTGTGTTTACTTTAGGAGGAGGAGCCATAGTATGGAGGAGTGTAAAGCAGAAATGCGTGGCAGACTCAACCATGGGGGCTGAGTATCTAGCAGCCTCAGATGCAGCGAAAGAAGCTGTCTGGCTCAGGAATTTTCTCCTCGACCTTGATGTAGTACTGAGTTTGCCCGCTGCAATCACAGTGTTCTGTGATAACAGCGGAGCGGTAGCAAATTCGAAGGAGCCACGGACTCATAAAGCGAGTAAACACATAGAAGCAAGTACCACCTGATACGAGAAATCATTGGACGAGGAGAAGTCGTTGTTGCCAAGATACAGTTAGAGGACAACCTAGCAGATCCTTTTACAAAGAGCCTACCGGCGAAAGTCTTTACAAGACACGTAGAAGGAATGGGTGTCAGATGTTAGGGCGACATAGTAGACTAGTCTTTCAGAATTAGATTGAAAGAAATTGTGGTTAGTTTGTTTAGCCATGAGCTTATAAAGCATAAGTGGGAGATTGTTAGAGGTATGTTGTAAAATCTATGTTTTGCAGATTCTATCAATTCCATTTTGATCTGGCCATCATGTTTCGGTCAAAGTACATATGTTTGCATTTATTTATTTATGCAAATCATACTCCATGTCTTATATTGAGAAAGTGTGGTTCGAAGTGTATCGAACAGAAAGATCACCTATCAGTTCCTTATTAGATTAAACTATTCGTTCACAGTCTAGACAGACAGTGAGACCCCTCTTCGAAAAAGACTGTAGTGTATTCTTGATTCAATTGGTCTTTGACTGAAGAATTACACTAGCACTATGTTAAGTGTTGAATAGGACCACAGAAGGATAAGGTTATGAGACTCACTGACCGTTGTTGTAACCTAGACCTTCAGTGATTGATGCGTTCTCTTAAGCTGTAAGAAAATATAAAATAGGCATATATTTTTATTTCTTATTTATTTGATTTACCAAGTGATTCCTATTTTATTAAGATGACATACGAGGTATTTAGGTAAGTAAGAATAATTATATGATGTGCTATTATAAATTATATATGGTTACTATGTTCTAGTGTGCTGGATTGATGACGTCCCCGAAATGAGCTCAGGAATGTACATTATGTTAAACCCTGCAGGTAGACGATTGTCTGACATAATGGTTAAGGATTTGACTGGTACTAATTTCGGAAATGAATAAGAAGTTGATTAATTATTTTGTCAGTAATCTAATTAATCAACAGACGTTATATCTTAAACATAGGGAGGTAAATCGATCAACCGGATCAATATTATTTAATCATAGAGGCTCAATTTTATTGGTAAAATAGTGGCTAAGTGGGGAGAGCAATAATATTACTCTAGTGAGATGTTTCATTATTTAATTCCATTAAATAGGAATTAATTTTAATCCATATTAATTAATTTAATTAGGAGAATAAAATTCCTACTAGAATCTTCTATAGTGTTAGGACACTAAGAGAGTCTTCTAGAAGATGAAGATTAGTAGGAAATATATTTCCTACATTATATTATTAATTGGAGTAAAATTAGGTTTGCTAAATTAGGAATTAATTCTATTCCATGATTATTAATTTAATTAGGGAAGGTATTCCTACAAGGATCTTCTATAGTGTTAGGAGACTAAGGAGTCTTCTAGAAGAGATAGATTAGTAGGACATCTCCTTCCTACATTAAGTTAGTATTGGAATAGAATTAGGATTTCTAGGCCTAATGGGATAAGCCCATATTTAGCACCTCATTAAGGTCCCTAATGGAGCCTATAAATACACCATGTCCCAATCTCTCCTACAAGTTGATGCTGGCCGATTTTCTCCTCTACATACGCGTGAGAAATAGCTTTGTTCGAGAGTTAGGGAGATTCGAGTAAACACTCCACCAAGTTTGATCGAAATAGGTCTTTAGGTAATCCATTAGAAGGCTTTTTGGTACAATATATTGAGCCTATAGTATACATATAATTCTCGTCATCTTCATCACATCATCGCCGCCCATGAGTCACCGCCGGAATCCGCCGACCGCCGCCGGAAGCCACCCGAGCCCAGCCGAGCGCAGCCGCCCGCTACCGCAAGTAGTTGCATATCGCCCAGGCCCGACGCCAATTCCAGCAGCGACGCCCAGGACCACCGAACGAAGGCCCGACGCCTGTTCGTGCAACGCTCTGCTTCGCTGTCGTTCCAGTGCGCCAGTGCAACGCGCGCGACAGTCCGCCCGCGTCTGTTCACTCGCCAGCGTTAGTCCGTGATCGTCCAGGACTTCCGCAACGCACGCGCGCATCATCCTTAGTGCATCTAAGACTCGCGCGTTTAACTCCCGCTTGTGCGTACGCCCAGCGCATCCTGCCCAGATGTTAGAGGTATGCTGTAAAAGCTATGTTTTGCAGATTCTATCAATTCCATTTTGATCTGGTCATCATGTTTCGGTCAAAGTACATATGGTTGCAGTTTATTTATTTATGCAAATCATACTCCATGTCTTATATTGAGATAGTGTGGTTTGAAGTGTTTCGAACAGAAAGATCACTTATCGGTTCCTTATGAGACTAAACTATTCGTTCACAGTTTAGACAGGCAGTGAGACCTCTCTTGGAAAAACACTGTAGTGTATTCTTGATTCAGTTGGTCTTTGACTGAAAAATTACACTAGCACTTATGTTAAGTGTTGTACAGGACCACGGAAGGATAAGGATATGAGACTCACTGACCGTTGTTGTAACCTAGACCTTCAGTGATTAATGCGTTCTCTTAAGCCGTAAGATAATATAAAATAGGCATATATTTTTATTTCTTATTTATTTGATTTACCAAGTGATTCCTATTTTATTAGGATGAC